AAAGCTGACTACACTCCCTTACTTCATTTCCATAGTCATTCAATGATGGATTTAATTGAGGCTTTGTGATGCACACAACTAAAGCTCCCAGGGCTTTTAGCATAAAACAAGATCTGAGGTCTGAATGGGGAATCTCCAGGTCTGCTGAGAACAGAATCAGAGATATGACCACTGTATTTAATTTTCCTCTTACTTGTTTTTCTTTTTCTTTTTCATGTGTTGAATGTTAGGAGGAAAAACAGACGTTGCAGATGGCAAAAGGATGTCATAGGTTCGGGCTGGAGTCAAAGGTCAACCAGGGAATCAGTTTCTCTGTTTTTTTTTTATCTGTGAATCTTTTAAGGTTAACATTATGCCTGCACTTCATCCCTGGGAGTACTCCCAGGAAGAGCTTAGCTGTCTAGCTCCTGTGCACAAATGTCCTATCACAACCAGCATCATTACCTTTGAAAAGTGAGTTTTCTTCAAGTTCTCCATCTTTGTGCCTGTGAGTTCCTTAAAATTAACATGATTTCTCTATTTATGGGTCTAGGATTTTTCCAATGAAGAGCTATGAAATCTCCATTTCTGGACTAATTTGATTTTGAAAAGCTCACTGTTATTTCAGAAAGGTGAGTTTCCAGAATTGAATTTGCTTGAGAAATTTATAGTGGTTGGGGGTGGAAGCATCAGTCAGGGCAACCCTGGGCTGGAGCTTCCTGATGGGCCAATGAAATGGTTCTGCTGCCCTCCTGAGGCATCTTTCTTTGCAAGTGCTCCTAAGTATCTGTATCAGTAAAAAGAACAACTCACTTGTACATAGCAAGCTGTACATTTTGGGTCACTTTTGAGCCTCTGAGCAAACTGTGAGATTAGTAATGTTTTATCTCAGTGTTGCAGGAAGAGACCAGAAGATGACACAGGATAAGTAACTTGGTTATTTTGACAGGTCTGATAAGTGTGTGTCGGACAGAGACCACTTACTCAAAATTAAAAACAAAGACTTAGATACCCTTGAAAGTAGAAAGGAGTTTATTGCTTTCTCATAAGAAAAGGTACCCTCCTAGTCTCCATTTTGGGCCAGGAGAGTACTAGTTCCTTACAGAAGTAAAGTCTTATTTATACCCTAACACAAGATCCTCCTCCCTAACCCCCTTCACCTTATCCCATTGGCTGGGCTTTCAGGGGATACAATCTATTGACGGAGACACAAGTTTGCCCAGAGACAAGAAAAGGTGGGAAGCTTTTCAAGGCAAGCAGTTCAGGTTGGGGGCAGGGCTATTCTTTTTCCTGAGTGGGGGAGGGTTTTGAAAGCAACAATCAAGAACTATTTACAAAAACCACTGACTCCCTGAGGAGCCTTCACTTCTGAGAGATCATCTCTCACAATTCCCCCTCTCATTTCTTACAATTTGAAGACTCCTCACACCCACTAAATCTTAATAACCATCAGGGTGGTCTCGGACTGGCACCCAACCCTGACTCTTTAGAACCATCAGCTTGATTTCTCGTTCCCCTTCTATCTTAACCAAGGGGTACAAGGAGTCTTGCATACAGGGGAGACACACTGGGAGTAGGATAATAACAATTTCCCTCAAATTTTACAATCTAAGAGTTTTAGAAATACAATAATATCAATTGCATTTCCGTATTATCACATACAGAAATTATCACTCTTATGGTACCTTTAACACTTGGCACTCTTGGTACCTTTAACAATTACATATTCCGCATTTTAACATATGCATACTTCTTTTACTGACCACTTGCTCTAATCAGAGAAATCTACTATAAAAGGAAAAGGCAGGGACATATGAACATCCTTAGCTCTGTTTGAATTCAGATAACAGTCTCAGTTCTCCAATCATGCAATATCAATTCCATATCATAGCCAGACTCAGGAATAGTCAGGTGGGAAACATTCCTTCTCAAAGGAACACAATGGGGAAACTGAGCCCGGAAGATCCCATCCTAGATTGAGGCTAAGATTGTCCTCTCGGCTTTTTCCCAGATGCAGACCTCCACCTACAGGATCACATTCTCTCTGGGCATTTCTTCAGATATTGATGTAATGCAGACAACTATACCCAAATTCAAACTCAAAACAAAATTAGTTACAGTCCCAAGAACCTTTTACCTTAAACAGCAAATTTCACTAATTATGGCTTAAAGCCAGATACAGTTAATTTTACTCCCATGGAGTTGCAATAATCAATAAAAATTTACCAGGACTCACATCTCAAATTTAAGCTTGTCTCAGTTTAAAAGCCAATCATTAGAAACTTGCAACTTCTCAGCAAGCCAAGTTCATTGTTTAGGAACTGCAAGTTCTTTCCTCAGGGCAGATGTACTCTGCTTCGTCTATTCCTTCTTACTTTCCTCTACCCTGGCCACATACACTTTTTGGGCTGTTGTCTTTCCTCAAAGCATTTTAGCATTAGTTCAAATTATTCATGAGAGAGGGAGGAATGATCATTAACTCTCTCAACCATCTTAACTCCACCTGATCCTGTTACCTGAATTCCCATAGTCAGTCCCATTGGGGTACTTTTAGTTAGCGCTGTTTCTATTAATTTTTGCACTAGTCCTGATATAAGGGGTGATGCAGCACCCTACTGTAGTTAAACTCCCACAGGTACAATTAGAGAGGTGGTAATGGATGCTGCTATTCCCTTTCATTTGCCAAACCAGGATTCTAACCATCCCTTTAATCAGTTATCTATCCCAGAATTCTCTGCCAACTGCTCAGCTAGAACGGTTAAACCTTGCAATGCCTTAGTGATGGTTCTATCTGGGACTGTGCTGCTGGGCAACATTTCATCAAGGGATTTGGGGGACTTAAAACAATATGGGAGAAGGAAGGGAAAAGTTGGCTGACACATTGACAAATTAAAAAGGGGGCAGTCCCCTTATTAAGTACAGATACAGAGATCCAAAAATAATGATAAATTGTCCATTTAAAGCTTTAGAAGTCTCTTCTCATACCACTGTCTGATACTCTGGACATCATCTGGTGAAGTCTTCTTGTCTAAGTGCTGTTCAAACAGTGTCCAGCAGACTCTCCTCCTGCAGAGATCCTCCTTCTTGTATCCACTCTCCTACAAGATTGATCTAATTTCTTTAGTCCAGGGGTGTCTGCAATGGGCCACTTTATCATTAAGAGTTCCATCTCACAAATACTCCAATCAGGTGGCTCCAATTCTGTTGACTACATTTCCAACTTTCCTTACATAGAAAATAGGGCATCTCTTCGCCATTTGCATTATATGCTGGTCACATCTAATTAAGGAACTAATAATAATAGTTAACATTTTTAGTGTCTGCCCTCTGCTAGGCATTAAATTTCCGATCCATACATTTTCCCAATTTACCTTAGTGCCAAACAGTGTAACATCACATTTCATTTAAAATATTACCAGAATGAATTAAATTACCTTTTGGTTGTGTTCTGGTACACAAAAACTTTTCTCTTCTTTCTTTCTTTCCACATTCAAAATTTGGCCAGAATTAGAATGCGGAGAAAGAGAGAATTTTTTTTTCCCAAAAGTTTCCAAACCTTTTACTATCAAACTCTGTTGACACTCATTCACACCACAGACACAAACAGGAACACAAAATAGACATACAACAAATTGCTGTAGAATCCTCAAATCATCAAATCATATTTAACCATTTTTCTTTTTATCTTTCCCTTTATACTTTGGCAAAGTCCAATTAGCTATCATCTGGAACATCTGGAAAGGAACTATGTTGCTGTCCACCCACTTTTGGACGTCCCCATGGCTCACCAGCTCTGCCGGTTAAGGCTCACTGTATCTTGCCATGAGGTGGAGGCTTACTAGTTCTTGTCCTCTTTCAAGAACTCACCGATATTGCCCCCTTATGGGAGGGAAGGCTGGCTAGATCTTGCTGAGGGCTCACTAGTTCTTGCTTTCTGTAGAAAGGTCACCAATCTTGCCTTCTCACCTCACTAAGCTCAGCCTTGTTTCCCTTCCCCCAGTCACCCAGTGACTCACTAGTTCTTGCCCTCTTTATGGGGGCTCACCAATCTTGTCTTACCAGGGTCTGTACACACAAACTTACATGACCAATTCAAATTCTTCAAATTCTTCAGCGGGTGGTGGTTGTTGTTCACTTTCCGAGGTTTCTGCTTTCAGGTATCTGTCTTTCTTCGGGTCCATTCCTTAAAAGTGAAAGGAAACTCCCAAACCATTCCTTGGGCCTCTGGCAAGTGGCTGACAGGGGCCTGTCTTAGGACTTGCTGGGAGGCCCTTCTCAGATAAGGAAGGAAATACCAGAAAAGTCTCCAGCTGTGTGGGACAGAGACCACCTACTCAAAATTGAAAACAAAGACTTAGATACCTTGAAAGTAGAAAGGAGTTTACTGCTTTCTCATGAGAAAGGCTACCCTCCTAGTCTCCATTTCAGGCCAGGAGAGTACGAGTTCCTTACAGAAGTAAAGGCTTATTTATACCATAACACAAGCTCCTCCTCCCTAACCCCCTTCCCCTTATCCCATTGTCTGGGCTTTCAGGGGGTACAATCTATTCACGTAGACACAAGTTTGTCCAGAGACAAGAAAAGGTGGGAAACTTTTCAAGGGCAAGCAGTTCAGGGTGGGGGCAGGGTTATTCTTTCTGCTGAGTGAGGGAGGGTTTTGAAAGCAACAATCAAGAACTATTAACAAGAACCATTGACTCCCTGAGGAGCCTTCACTTCTGAGAGATCATCTCTCACAATTGGATGAGTTGGAAAGTAAAATCCAGGCTTCCTAACCCTGTGGGTCAGGTTTTCACCACCAATCAATTTAGAACATTGCTTGTCAACCATCATTTTTCCACCCCTGCCACATATGTATTCATTCTTTCCATGCTTGACTTCCCTAAGATTCACGGTCCACATAGTTAGAACTACAGGCCTTTTCAATGGCCCTCTATTTGGAAGCCCCTTATCAGACAACTGAGAAAACTGAGGCCCTCAGATTTTCCAATGCCTCATCCACAGAATGTAAGTGATGTGCAAGTTAGACCTCCCAGGTCGGCTGACCTCTGATGCAGGCCACTAGACACTGCCATGAGTGTGCCTCTACCTTGGACAGATTTGATTTTTTTTTTTTTTATCATTTCCATTGTCTTGACTCCATCAAAAGGAGACAGCAGGAAAATAAACTGCAAATAGTTGAGCTATCACCAAGCTTGGAAAATGTGCAGGGCAACCCAGACAGTCTTGCCATCTTTTCCACTAAAAGCTGGAAGCTACACTTCATTTACAAATTTTACATTCCAAGAACTGTATTAATGCGGAAGATTTAAGAATTATGTTTACTATTACACCCATTCTGCTTTCCTTTGAAAGGTAAGACTTTCCATTTCCTTTTTCTCTTGAGAAAAGTGAGAGATGATTGCCTTTGGGGCTGAAATTTGGCCCAGCCTATGAACTCTACCTTAATGTGTTAAACAAATCATATTCTTGTACTCCAGGCATACCAGATCTTTTCCTTTCTGTTCATGATGAATCACAGTAACAAATGCAAGAAAAAGAACAATAGTAGTATCTCTAAATACAAAAACAGAAACAACCACCAAAAATATCTTTTGTGGAATACAGGATATGTATGTTATCTCCTTTGATTCAACAACAGACCTTGCTCTTGGTAGTCCAATTGACAGAGGAATTAAGTGATGCTAAATGATGGACTATGAGATATGTGTATATGTATATGTATATGTATATGTATATGTATACATATATATATATATATATATTTCTCCCTCCTTTTTGTATTTCCCTTATACCATTTTATTTTCCTCCATCCTACTTGTATTCAAGGGTGGCAAAATAAATACACATTGCCAGGGGCAAAAGTCCTTGCTGGCTTAGTTCAGATTCTGGGGCCTCTCTCAAATGTCACTTTATCCTTTTTACCTCTCAATGCCTTAAGGTTAATTTTATTTCCCTGTTGATTGGTTCTAGGATTATTACCAGGAAGAGATAAGGAGTCTTCTTCCTGTTGACAAGCTCACTATTTCTTTTCAAAGGTGAGTTTCCAAATTTGCATTTGTTTCAGAAATTTGAATAGGTTAGATCTAGGGACATAAGTCAGGGAAAGCCAGGGAGTTTAGCCCCTGATGGACCTTTGAAGTAGTTCCCCTGCCACTGCACTCCTGACACATCTTTCCTTGGAAATGCTCATGTGCATCAGTAATAAGAAAAAGAGGATCTCCCTTGTATGCAGCAAGCTCTATATTTTGTGTACTTTTTGAGCTTCAGAGCAAACTACGAAATTGGTGGTTTTCTTGCTCTGATTTTTTAAGTCAAAGAGCTGAGGAGGAATAAGGTCACATGACCAATCTGGTAAGTGGATGAATTGAGATGTGAAGTCCAGGTTTCTTGACCATGAAGGTCAGGATGGGGCCTCTTAACAAGTTGGGGCCCTGCTGGTCAGCCATTTGTTTTTCCTCCCCTGCCATCCTTCACTTCCCTAAATATTCGAAGTCAACATATGCAAAACTTTTGGCCTTTTCAGGTCCTTTTGCTTGAAAGCCCCTCATCAGATGAGTGAGGGAAGTGAGGCCCTCAGAGTTTTCAAAGGCCTAATCAATAGAATCTGTCTTACATATGCATATTTGCTTGGCTGACTCCAGATACAGCCTACTAGACAAGACTTTGAGGATGCCTCTACCTCAGTCATATTTTATTCTTCCTTGTTGCTTCTGTTCTTCTGGCTCCATCAAATGGAGTCAACAGGACAAAAAAATTGTGAGTAGTTGGAATACCAGACAGTTGGGATGATGTTCGGGACCACCCCTGCAGTCAGTCTTGCCATCTCTTTTCCTTGAAGTCCCCAAGGCTTAACATAATTTCTGATCTTTTCTTTCTAAGATGGAGATACTTAGAAGATCTGAAAATTGGTCCTCTTGTTCACAAATGTTCAACCATCTTTCTTTCCTTCTCTTCAGTTCCTCTTTGGCTTGAGAAAATTGGATGATTGTTGCCCTTGGGGGTGGCATTTGGCCTTGCCTGTGAGGTCTGCCATAATATGATGGACAGATTCCATTGTTCTGCTCACTCCAGGTGTGCCAGGTCTTTTCCTTTCTGTTCAGGATTAATCACAACAGTAACAAGAACAAAAACAGCCCTAATGAGAATTTCAACTGCGAAATCAGAAATGAGCACAACAAATATCATGTATAGTGTGTGTATGGTATCTCCTTTGACCCAGTAGCAGACCTCTGATTCTGGTGCTTTTTTTAGTTTAATTGATGGAGAAATTAAGTGATGCTAAGACATGGGAAGTTACTCAGGCCAGGAGGACACACTTCATATGTGGCTGAAGTAGGATTGCTCTTCAGGCCTTCTTGGCTCCAAGTTCAAGGCTATAAGATATTTGGCTCTCTGACATAATTTTTGTTCCCATACTTCATTTCCTTTCACCATGCCATCATCTTTGGCTTGCTTGGGTATTCATCTTCCCCAAGACTCCAGGTCTTGATCTGTTGACACCAAAGTGATGGAAATGGGAGTATGTTTTCCCCCTCCTTTTTGTATTTCCCTTATGCCATTTCATTTTCCTTTATTCTATAGGTATTCAGGGTTGGCAAAATTACTGGATATTTCTTAGGGCAAAATTTCTTACAGGCTAGGATCAGATTCTGGGGCCTCCCCACAAAGTCAGATTCTCCTTTTGGCCTTTCAATTCCTTAAGGTTAACCTCATTTCTCTGTTGTTTGGTCCTAGGATTATTCCCAGGAACAGCTGAGAAACCTTCTCCTTGTGGTCAAATTTCATTTTGACAAGCTCACTGTTTCTTTTCTTTCTTTCTTTCTTTTTTTTTTTTGAAGGTTTATTTTTCTTTAATCTGATTTGACTTGGAGACACAAAACAAGAAATGGAAACACCCAAAACCATATGGAAGAGGAGGAAGATGAGCCCCTTTTGGGCTCAGAACCTGAACCTCGGACCCCTCCCTAGGGGGAAGGTGATGAGGAGAACAGGCCAAAAACATCTGGGCACCATCCAATTGAGGCAGGGAATAGGTCCTCCATCCTTCCCCTAGAGGGCAGGGCCCAGCTCCCTCCACCCTAGAAATGGGGGTGTCTGGACCGGAAGGAGATTCCACCAGGGATCTTTTTTGTGGGGAGTGGGGTTAGGGAGAGAGAAGCTCCAGCCCAGGCACACCTGCCCTCTCCCCACCCCCACCCCCAAGGCCTTGGCTCAAGCCCCTCCTTTGTAGGGAGGGGCACAGCAGCAAGAGGGGCCTCAGGCCCAGTGGAGGCTCATTGTCAGCAGAAAGAATGGGAGACATTCATGATGAGGGCCAGGGTCCAGGAAAGCAACAGAAGACATGTGATTATCTGAATGAGGAAGGGGGGACTCCAGCTCTCCCTACAGCAGGAGGAGGGGAGTAAGTGTCTGGGTGGGGGGAGCCAGGAGGCCCCCATGCCCAAATACTGAGGTCACCTGGGGGGAAGAGAAGCAGAGAGGTACACCCAAAAGCTGGACCTGTGAGGTACATACAGGTCCTGGGTGGGTCAGCAGCTGGGCCCTTATGCACCCCTTTCAATACTGTGGCCCTGGGGGACAGGAAGATCAGAGAAGATAGACTATGCAGCTGAGGAGATGGGAGATTGCACCCTTGATCCCCAACCTCCCAGGATAGTGATGGGACAGGGATAGGAACAGGAGCTAGAAAGATGATTTCCAAGGGGGAGAGGTCCAATCCTCCCATGACCTCAAAAACCCAGGGGTGGGGAAGGGGCTGCCATGGCTTCCACTTCAAGTTCAGAGATCAGATACTGCTGTGGGCCCCTCCAACCCCACCTGGGGGAGGAAAGGGGGCAGGGTGGGTCCTGTTAAATGGAGGGCAGCAGCTTTTTTTTTTTAACATTTTGTTTTATTCATTTATTTTTAGGCAATTGGGGTTAAGTGACTTGCCCAGGGTCACACAGCTAGTAAGTGTCAAGTGTTTGGTCTGAGGCTGGATTTGAACACAGGACCTCCTAACTTCAGGGCCAGTGCTCTATCCACTGCACCACCTAGCTGCCCCTGGGCAGCAGCTTCTCAATGAATTCCTTCACAGTTTCCATCTCCATCACCTAGCTGCCCCAAAATGAGATATTTCTTCTAAAAATATTTCCCTTCTTTAAAAACAGTTTAAAAGTTATCCTGATGTTAAGAAGAATAATAAATAAATTTTTATGAAGAACATTAGTTGGGAACTTTAAAAGTGATATATATCTCTCTTTTTCACCTTAAAGTAAAAATAAACCTTTAAAACTGGAATTCATTAAAACTAAGCTGTGTAAGATGTTCTTAAGTAACATAAATAAATTCCCAAAGTACTATAACAAACTAAATTCCTAGTTATCACAGAATGCCCTAGATATCACAAAGTTCCTTAGTCAAAAAGGTATTTGTAATGGAAAAGAAATTCAATTTTTATAATGCATGAATAACATACCCAATTAAATTAGCCTTATCACAATAACAAATTTTATCAAGCTTTTAAAAATTTACTCCGTATCTTTTTCTTTCCTTTGTCTTTAAATATGTAACTGCAAATCAGGAAAAATTATTACATTCTGGAATCTCACATAGATAGTGAATGTGATAGTCCATAAATCTCCCAAATTATCATATCTCAAAGATTCTCATTTACTCAGGAATCCCACAGCACAGGAAAATTTTGCACAAAGTTGATAAGAGTTTTGGGTGAAACTTCCTCTTAAATACAGACAAAACTTGGAAGTTTATTCTAACTCATTCATTCTTCCCTATTTGGGGGGAAGGGGTAACAATTCTTGATCTAACATCTCTAGATTATAATAGAAATTACTTTCAACAACATAGCTCATATAATTTGTTTACCAGATTATACCGTATAAGAAAATTCAGAAATATAACCATACTTATTATGTATTGAAAACTTGAAACAGAACCAATTAATTACCTATTTATAACCTAATATACCTCATCAAATATTAACAGTTTTCAAATTATCAAATTTTATCACATCCTTTTATGTGGTATGTGATTTATGGTACATCCATATGCACCATTTCTACCTCACAATGCTCAAATTTTACATTCTAAGAGAGTTTTAGAAACACAATACAATTTAGAAACATAGTAATAAGGTAAACAGTAAACTTCAGATGATATCAGTTGCATTTCCAAATTATCGCATATAGAGATTATTGATCTTATTACTTTGGGTATTTAAAAACACTTCAAAGTTGTCAGGTATGGAACAATTACATTAAATTAGAGAGATAATAATGTTGTCTAACATATGCCATTGTGTTAAGCACTTTCCCGTCATTATATCATTTTGATCCCATAACAACCATTATTATTTTTCCCTTTACAAATCAGGAAACAGGACACACAGAGATAAAATAACTTGCCATAAATTCCAAAACTAGAAAAGAGAAATACGGGGCTCCCCAAGAGTAGAAGTTGGCTTCTCACCTCATAGTGCTATTGCGAGCTCTTCCAGGGGTTTGGGTGGCTAATGCCAGGGCCTTCCTAGTGCTGATAATTCTTGGTGGCAGGACTTAGGGAATCTCATCATTAGGACTGAGCTGTCCACCTCTCCGCTCCCCACAGCTGCAGAATTTACTGAGGCTGATGCCATTTGCAGCTGCTTGGTCAGGGTGGGCAGAATTTATTGAACCTGAATGTGACTCCCAGACCTTGCCTAGAAGGGTGGGCTACAAGATGACCAGGGGCACTGGGCCATTATGGCCACTGCTAGTCTGTGATAGTTGCCCTCCCCTCCTTTTGCCAGATTGGGAAGGCTGATTTAAGTTTTCCCTATAATTCTTCAGCATTTTCTTCTCTTTCACATTCCCCGTATTGTGATATTTGTCTTTGGGGAGGGAGTGGGGAATGCTGAGGAATCATAATTGGGAGGAGGTGTTTTAGCAGAAGGTGAGCTCCTGGAATTACCTGTAGTCTCAGAAGTTTTCTCCAAAAATCCTAAAGTGATCAGTTTCCCAACTTTTAATGATTAATCTCAAAACCTCCAGAATCTGATAAGATTTATTTAGCTGTGTGTAACTTTTCACTCTAGGTCTAGGCTGGCCAGGCCTGAACCCACAAGGAAAGGTTTGTTGTTTTCCTAGCTGCAGCCCTTAGAAGTCTCTGGCTGCCTGCACTTTAAATCTTACAAGGTACAGATACAGAGACACATACTGACAGACAAACTGACAGGACAAATGCAATACAAAACATAGTGACATAATCTACACTTAATGACAGAGAGAGAGGGAATTAGAAGCTTGTTGGAAAACCCCCAACTTGAATTGGTTATTTATTATTATTCAGAAGAAGGGGAGTTGGGGAATTTGCAAGGATCCAAGACCTGATAGTGTAACTATATCTTAAGAGCCTTCCTCAAAGTGCCCCTGAGATTGCAGACTTTAAGGGGCAATTCCTACCTAAATGGCAAAATAATGTTCTGTATTACAAGATACTAATTAAATTAGTGACCCTGGGCTCTCATTCACTAAAACCCTGTTTGCCTCAGTTTTCTCTTAAGTAAAATGGGGATGATGGGAGCACCTAGCTAATGAGGTAGTTTTAAGGGTCAAATGAGATAATATTTCTCCAGGATTTTCACAGTCTGAAGGTGCCTTGAGCTTTTATATTCTGAGGGTCCTTCTATCTCTGACAATCTAGGGGATCAGGACATCCTAGTGAAGAGGTCTAGGACTTTTGGGGTGCTGGGACCCTAAGATTGCGGTACTGGGCCCTGCTGAATGAATTCAACTCAAATCTTCTTCAGCCAGAGAAAAAGTCTATTAGTGATAAATCACATTGACCAGGTGATGCCCATAGAGTGGGCATGAGAGGTTCTCAGCCTTGTGGGCCTGAGATTCTCAGCAACTGAATGAGGGCTAGGGTGGATCTTAAGTACTAAAGTAACTTTGGGTGGCCAGAGAAGGGGGTTGGGAAAAGGGTGTAGGTAAAAACTCTTAATTGGGGAGGTCAGAGAGATTGAATAGACAATGGGAATAGATAATGGAGGGAACAGGAAGGCAGAAGTTTGAAAGGCATCTACACAAAATCAAGGTGGGGCTAGGACTTTCAAAAGGAGATAAAGGAAGACCTTTCTGGGGCCTATAGACAAAAGGGAGCCTAAGGCTTTCAAAGGGAGATGAGGGGAGTTGATTAGGAAATTTGAAGGTTTAAGGGTTTTCTGGGTCCTGTAGACAAACAGGAGCCAGATTCTATTCAGGGCAAGGGTTGAAGGTGCATCTGAATAAGATCTAAAGGTAAGCTAGGGCTTTCAAGGGAGATGAGGGTCTGGGTCTGTAAGTCAGATTCCCTTTGGGGCAAAGGGCAAAGATCTTGGCTTGGGCCCTGCCCCCATCATTCCCAATGAAGTTAAGTTCGGGGACCTGAGTCCCCATCAGGACCATAGCTTTTAAGGGAAATGGGAGGTGGAAGGGGATTATTCTGAGCCTGGGAAAGAGTGCTGAAGCTGCTTTGTGAGCCTTAAGGGAAGAGGCTTCTGCCTTTCCTCAGCCGTCTCAGCAACCCAAGGATGAAAACATTCCCACTCCTGGCTAGATGTTTTGTTGGCCTTTAAACTTAATTTGGTTTTAAGATAACTTTGACCGGTCAAAAGAACCCCTATTTTGGCCAACATAATTTGGAACTATCTTTAGTTACCTGACATCAGCACTAGCAGTATTTGTGATCACCAGATTGGCAATGGCTTGACATGTATAATAGGAGAATGTCAAAGCGTCCATTGAAATTATAGATCCAGGATATCTGTGTTTCCCCTACGTAACACATGTCAGTAAGATACCAAGATAAGAAAAGTCCCATTATTCAAGATTGTCTGGTCCCAGGTATCCTGTCCTTTGTGATCACCAACAGGAAGAATGCTGGTCAGTTTCATGTGGTTGCTGACACAGGATTCACTCAGAGAGAAAAAATTAATTCAGGTGTTTGGCCCTTATTGGAGCTTAATTGATCTTGAATTATCATCCCTAATCACCACTTCCATTTTGAAGATAGTAGGACTACTGAGGCTTAGGTGGGGTAAAAAGGGGGTGGGTCTGACATTAGAATCCACATTCAGGCTTTTCCATTACACTCTATTAATGAATTAGCCTTGAGTTGGGGCCAAATCTTTCCTGCCTTTTCTCCCAACTGGTTGCAGGCTTTGGGCTGTTAGGTGGGATTTTTGTTTTGTTTTGTTTTGTGTAATTGATGCATAAAGAGGTGTGTCTATACCTGGTGCAACTTGTTTGGGAGCTTAGAGCTAACCTGCCCATTCATCCCGAGTCTAGACCGCTGGACACTGACTTTCTCCACTTCCTCTAATCTAATTCTCCAACCAGATACCAGAGAAGACAGAAGACAGATGTCCAGGCAGTGGCTCTCCTACCATCCAGACAGCCTGGGGCTGTCCACCGGTGCTGTAGAGATGAGAGAAGGCCATCCAAACAGCCAGGCCCAGCAGTGCCAGCAGCAGCCCCAGGCACATCCCGGGCATCCCCAAGAATATCTCAAGGTGCCCCAATAATCCCATCAGCAACCTGAGCCTCCGCCTCCCCAACAGATCCAAGCTGTGGGAACTCCCCACCCACTAAGCAGCCCCTGCTGCTCCAACAATCCCAGCAGCAGCCCCAGCCACAGTATTTTATTCATAATGCTAAAGAGTTAATTGGAGGGGATTTGAAAGGGCCTCTATTTATTTGTCTTTGTAAACTTCTGCATTGCTAAAACACATAAGCTGGTAATTATCATTAAAATACATCTACTCAAAAGACAACTAAGCCTAGCCGGTCACAAGAGGGTGATGAATGGGATGTCCCAGTGAAGACTTCTCAGTGTAATTAAGGTAATGAGTTCAGGAGGTGGGATAGGGTTAAGTATAGATTTCTGTATGATCATCTTTTTTTTTTCTTTTCCTGGTGCCAGATATTAGTGGTAGGAATTTGTCTAGTTGTTAAAGCTCTGGTCTTTGACCTTACCCAGATGTGCTTTCTTTTTTGGCTCCCGTTAGTCTACCAGTCCCGGGAAACCCAAAATTCTTCAAGTCCCCTTATCTCCCTTTGACAGGATTTTACTTAGATGTCTTCCTGTTCCCAACATTGTCTGTTCAATCCCTAAAACCTTCCAAAACAATTGTAAATTATCTTCCTAACCGCACATTTTTTATTGCTTCTTTGACATTATCTCAGCAAACTAAGAAATATAGAGATGCATACTATGTCCTTTGTCCTATGCTAGAGTCTAGCGTGTGAGATTGTGAGCCGAGTTAATGGACAGCTGTGAGGACGGGGGAACTGAGTCTTCAGGGTTATATAAGCTGATTTCTACCTCTGTGGGCCATCTCCCGTCATCAGAGCTTACTGATGGACTGACGGAGGGACACCCAAATCTCGAGATTTGAAATAATAATAATTATACCTATAATAAATTAACTTTCTGTTTCTCCTTGGACACCTCTGTGTTTTGTTTTATTTTTAATTTGAGTGGCATCCCACACAGTGAGGTCTTAGAACATGAAATGTCTGGGCTTGTAGAGACCTGAGACCACACAGAATGTCTGGGCTAGGAGTTGCCATGGAGAAGACAATGTCAGAGCTGGGAGGGCACCTCACTGAGGGCTATCAGAGGTAGAAGAGCCCTTACAACAGAGGAAGTCAAAGTGAACTCAGACATCCCAGAAGAGGATGGAAAAGCTCTTTCCAATACTAGCTCCTGTTGTCCTCATCAGAAAGCAGTCAGCTAGCTGCCAATATCACTCCTCATTTTAGAGGAGAGGACAGTGATGGTCACAAAGCTCCAGGAATGGCCTAGGGTCACAAACCTAGTCTGTGTCTGAGGTGAATGTAAATGTAACCCTTTTTGACCCTAGGCCCAGGGCTTGAAGTCTGAGCCACTGATATCTCTGTCCTCAGTGCTAGCAGAGATCCTAGAAAATCAGAAAACATTCAGGGCATTCTGCTTTTTTCACAAATTTATTTTTTTCTGTTAATTGCCCCCAATGTATAGGCAGGGATAGTATAATTTTTTAACAATCAGACATACACTTACACATGCACACAAAATCAATGAGAAGCATTTTTTAATATATTTTTGTGTTCAGTGGATTAAGCTAATGACAGGCATGATCATTTAAGTAAAATAAATTTTTGAATATACTAATGATTTGATAAACAGCTTTTATTTCACGAATATTGAAACCAATGCTATTTTGATGCTCTCAATGACCAGACTTTCAGAAATCTCCAAAGATAGTTTGTAGGTGGTGGGAGCCGCAATAGAGAATGGTGGATCTGGAAAGGCATTGGGAAGCAGGAATATAGAGAATATAGAGAAGAGGAGAGCTAGGAGTGTCCTGATGACCCCAGATTGTCAGAGACAGAAGGACCCTCAGAGTATGATAATAGCTCACATTTATAAGAAACCTTCAGACCGTCAAAATCCTTGAGAAATATTATCTCATCTGATCCTTAAAACCACCGTGTGACCTAGGTGCTACTATCATCCCCCTTTCATAAGTGAGAAAACTGAGGCAAAGAGAGGCTCAGTGAATGAGAGCCCAGGGTCACTAAACTAGTTAGTATCTAAGTCTGGTCTTTCTGAATTCCTTTCCAGAGACCTAGGCCTTATGCCACCTAGCTGCCTATCTTGTGAGCTGAGAGGGGCCATCCAAACCACATTCACAAAATAAACTAGATGGGAAGTCTTTTTGCTTTATAATTTATGGGGTTTCTGTGTTCAGTGGTTTAAAGTACAAGCAGACGTGATAATGTGAGAAGAATAAACAGGAAACATGCTTACCATATGAAACACAACTTTTATTGCAACAGTATAGAAACTAGCATTGTCACGATGATCTAAATTCATACTCAGGTTCTTAACCCTGAAGCCCAGGAGAAAAGATGAGAGTGCCTGGCATGTTTCTGTAAAAATGGGGAAGAACAAAATAATTCCATACAAGCCAGTGACAAGGTATCATGCTCCCACAATTTAAGATAACCTTTGACATCTTATAACGTCAGCAAATAATTTGGCAATAACAAGTTACATTGTTTTAACAAGCTTGCAAAACCTTGAAAGGGCAAGCCAATGAGAAGGGCCCTAATCTTTTAATAGAGCCCAAAGTTCTAGAGGACAGAGCCGTTTTTACCTAGCCCTAAGTAGGACAAAGGGTACGGGCTTTTGGATGAGGAGGGATGGTGGGGGGCGGGGGCATGTCAAGCAGACATGGGATGGGTGGATGTATAAGATTGTAACCTGGAAAGGAACGTACCATTCCAGGACTGGAAGGGAGGAGTCGCAGGATTCTAACAGTATAAAATGTTTTCTTGCTTCTGTAATTGGATGTCTTCCGAGGGGTTTTGCCCAGTTCTCCCAAGAACTGTAAAAATAAACAATTCTTCTCTCACTCTGAGCTTAGTTTTGTTTTTTAACTAGAAGGCTTTATTTCTCTAAGGCCTTATTTCTAACATCAAGGAAATCCATTTGGGGCAATAAATGGAACGAATTCAAATTCAAAAAATAATTACAAATGGCAAACATTTTCAAATGGACCAACTTTAATTTTTAATCACTGGATCGTTAACACAAATACATAGCAAATTTAAAGAAAATGACTCAAAGAAATCAAAGCCTAGGCTGTTAGAATAAGGTGGGAACTTTGAACTTGGAATGACTAAACTCTTAGAGACCTTCATACATGGAATGGCTGGGCTGGGAGATGCCATAGAGAAGAGGGTGTTAGATGTTGGAGGGCACTGAGAATGAGGGCTAAGAGACACAGGTGAGCCCTTCCTATAGGTAAGGGACAACATAACAGTGTTGGTAAACCCCAGAATGGCAGAGGTGGAAAGATCCTTAGAATATGTGTATGTATATATATATATGTGTGTGTGTGTGTATATGTGTGTATATATATATATATATATATATATATATATATATATATATATATATATATATATATATAAAATTTGTGTGTGCATATATATAATAGCTCATATTTATATCATGCCTTAGATTTTCCAAAACTTTGACAAATATAATCTGATTTGAACTTTAAAACACCCTTTCCAACTAGGTGTTCCTCTCATCCCATTTTGATACATGAAGAAACTGAGTCAAAGAGAGGGTCAGTGAATAGGTGAAGGTCACAAACTTATTTGGTGTCTGAGGCTGGTTTTGAATTCAGATCTTTCGGAATCCTTTCCAGGCCTCTAAGCCATGTACCTTCAGTTGCCTACCTTGGGAGTTCACAAGGGTTGTCCCCCCCATCCCAATACAACAAAAGCAATTGTATATCAATTTATTGTTTTTCTGTGCTCAGTGGCTTATAGTAAAGAGAGACATGATAATTTAAGAAAAATAAATTATTAAATGTACTTACAATATGATAAGCAATTTTTATTTCAATAATATTGACGTCAACACATTGGAGATATGTTACACAGAATGTTCTCCTGTGACGCCCAGGAGAAAGATCAAAGGAGAATGCCTGATATTTATCTGAAAAAAAATACGCAGCTAAATGAAACTTATTCCATACAAGAAGGTGATCAAGTTACGTTTGGTACTGACATTACCATTTGTGGCAACAAACAGAATGAATTCATATTTAAGAAATAATTGCAAATTTGAAATGATTTCAAGTGGACTTGCTTTTTAGTTTTTAATCACTGTATTGCTGATACATACATGCAGTGAATTTCAATAAAAGGACAAAAATAAACCAAAGCTTGGCCTGTTCAAAGATGGGGGGGGTACCTTAGAACATTGAGTGTCAGGACTCTTAGGGATTTTGAAACAGAAAATGGCTGCACTGGGAGTTGCCATGGAGAAGAGAATGTGAGGACTGGGAAGGCACAAAGAAGTAGAGAAATCAGACAGAGAAGAGCTCTTACTACTTATAAAAGGAGAGAAATGAGAGGGTCCTTAAGACCCCAGATTGTCAGAGATGGAAGGACTCTCAGAATACAGAAAATTGCTCACATCTATAATGTCCCTTAAGACTGTCAAAATCCTTGACAACTATTATGACCCATTAGCCTTAAAAGAATCATTTGAGCTCATTTCTTCTGGAATCCCTATTTTATATATGAAGAAACTGAAAAAAAGAGAAGTGAAGTGTATAGCCCAGGATCACAACCCCTTTTAGTATCTGAGGCTAGTTTTGAATTCATGTCTTTCTTAATCCCTTTCCAGGGATCTAAGCTCTGTTTCTTTTGACTGCATTTTTGTGAGCTGGGAGTAGTCCTCTAGCACACACTCAAAAACATAGACAGAAAGCAGTTTTTAAGAAAAATATATTTTCTGTGTTCAGTGAGTTAATTTAAAGAGACATGATAATTTAAGAAAAATAAATATGAAATATACTTACTAGATGATACACAACTTTTATTTCAACAATATTGAAATTAACACTTTGGTGAAAGCCTTTAACCATGAAGCCTAGGAGAAAAGATGAAAAGATACTGCACGAAAAGTTTCTTTAAAAAAATGAGATGAATAAAATATTTCCATTATAGCAAAGTCCGGCGTTGATATTACCAGTTGTTGAAATAAATGAATTGAGTTTATTTTATTTAAATATTGTCATTTTAATAAGGTTTGAAAGGGACCAACTTTTTGCTTTTAAATCACCCTTATTGCTAAAATACATATGCAGTGTATTTAGAGAAAAATTAAAAGAAACAAAATAGAATGAGAAGGCTCTTCAAGACCTTCAAAGATAGAACGGCTGGGCAGGGAGTTGCCATAAAGAAGAAAATGTTAGATCTGGGAGGGCACTGATAAGAAGAGATATGAGACCTAGGAGAGCCCTTCCTTCAGGGAATGGTGGAACTAGGAGTGTTCTTAAGCCCCAGAAAGTCAGAAAGAGAAAGATTATAGCTAACATTTACAAAACACCTTAAGATTGTAAGCAGCTAGATGATCCAGTGGATAGAGGGCCATGCCTGGAAACAGGAAGATCTGAGTTCAAATTTGGCCACAGATACTTACTAGCTGTGTTACCCTGGTCAAGTTCTTTAACCCTGTTTGTCCCAGTTTCCTCATCTGTCAAATGAGCTGGAGAATGAAATGGCAAATTCATGCTAGTATCTTTGCCATGGAAACCCCAAATGGGGTCACAATGAGTCCAATCCAACTGAAGAACATGTCAAAATGCTTGACAAACATAATCACATTTTGACCTTAAAACCACCCTGTGACCTAGGTGCTCCTATCATCTATATTTATACAAGAGGAAACTGAGGCAAAGAGTTCAGTGAATAGCTCACAGTCACACACCTAACTATTGTCTGTGGCTGAATTTGAATTCCGGTCTTCCTGAATCCCTTTGCAGGATTCTAAGCCATGTGCCACTGCCTATCTTGTGAACTGAGAGGGTTCCATATAGTGATTTTATCTCACCTCCACTACATGAAGAACATGATCTATTTTCCTCCCT